TTCCTGTTTTATTTTGTCTTATTCCCCCCTGGTGTTGCTTGTTTCCCTTTGTGTTTATTTTTATAGTATTATTTCCAGATTCAGTTTTGAGTGTTTTCTGTTTTATTTTGTAGTTCTCTCCCCTGTGTCCTCAACCTCAACATGTGCTTTACCCTCAACCTTACAAACAAAAATGGACAATGTCTATGTGTTGTGATTACTGAGCACAAGGGGAATTAGCTTTACAACACGCTGCATCCCTTATGATCATATTTGTTTTTTGTCCAGTAATAGTTCACGCTCTCTAAACATGAATGACTGAGACAAAAGCAAACTGTTCCCACGTGCAGCATATCATAAAGAAACAAATGCAATTCAAGGAAGAAGCAACTATTTTCTGTTTAAAGTGAACAAGTAACTCTTCCTTCCCTCATTAAATTAGTCCCGCCTTCCCCGCCCGCAGTCAGCGACAACATGTACTGTTCTCCTGTTCCTTCAAGGTTCATTAAAGTCACACGGGCAGGGTGGCGGTTAAGTCCTTTTAAGGTAATTCAATACTGAATCACATGGCAGACACCTGCACGTGCTGTGCTCTTTTAAAAAAAGGAATTCAAACTAACCCAAAGCATCAGCCAATCATATCATCACAATTACCACAAAGAAAATCCACCACAACGAGTCAAAGTCCTGCATTTAAAAATGACTTCACCTAAAATAAACAAGTAAAGAATGTGATTAGTTGTCAAATTTTAGTATTTCATCGAAGGAACTGCCAGAGGCGCTGCTCGTCAACACAAAGGGCAGGCGAGACTGCTTTTTTCGCGTTGGGGTCGCGAGGGGCTGGAGCCGATCCCAGCTGTCATTGGGAGAGAGGCAGAGTTATTTGAATTTATTTATTTAATAGGGACAATGCAATTTAACATAATTTCAATATGATGTGCTGCATAACGAGTATATTGCTCATTTCCAACTCGTGTCCCCAGTTGGGCCTTTGTGTAAACAAACAGATTAAAATGTACAACATTCAGTCACATAAAACCCCATAACACGATATGAGGATACATTAAAATACATGTACAACAATACAAATGTTATAAACCCCGGACTGATCACCAGTTAATCACATGGCTGACATACAGACACAGACAACATGCAACACTCACATTCACACCTGCTGGCAATTTAGAGTCACCGCTTAACCTGAGGAGTATGTCTTTGGACTGTGGGAGGAAGTATGCAGCTAACAACATCCCACACATTGACCCAAGGTTCATAAGAAACCTTAACAAAATCAAAACCAAGAGAAACAGCTTAATCATCAAACTGCAGAGAACTGCTAGGATTGCGCAATAGGGGAGTTGAAGTGATAATATTAATGGTGATGATGACAATGATGACGGTGATGATGATGATGATGAGGCAGAATCCGGAATTTCTGATGAAATAGAAAATTTCTCGATCACGACCCTGGGCAGAAGCAGACATAAAAAAGCTATGGTTGTTCCTCCTTTTGCCCATTCCTCGTTCTTTTTCACCCACACTGGTTCAAAGTCCCTCACCATAAAAATGATTCAACTGAGCAGAGACGTCAGAGATCTGTCTCTGCTCTGCTGTGGTTGGTGGTGAGGACTGAGAAGATATGTCTGTTAAAATACTTAAATAAATCAAGTTAAAACTTGTTTTCTCTCAGAATATTCTCTTTACATGTCTGTAGATTTCCTCCGCTTTTTCTCCTCACAATGACATTAACACAGACTTATTATGAACTCACTTCTGTGTGTGTAAAACCATGGCGTCAGTTGTTGTTCAGGTGTTTTAAAATACTGTGGCACCACCTTGTGTACATATGAGGAAGTGTTTACTAAAATAAAAGCATGGTGACTGGCTGTGTTCATTTCCAATCCGTTTCTTTATTTACTTTTCATATGATGTCATGGTTAGAAATATTATTCCTGATGATCCCTCAGAGTTAAAGATATTCTGTTTATTATTTTGTTTTCAAGTTTCCAATTGGAAAAGATGATACAGCATAATGAGGTAATTCCATTTTTTGACTGGAACCAACCATCATAAAAACAAGCTAATCTAGATAAATCGAAAACTTTGCCACATGCTGTGTTGTGCTCATTTTGTCTACAGGTTTTGGCACGTGTGGAAAATGGAGTCCAACCCCCCTTCCTTTACAGCACAGCGTGTGCTCTGCCCCCTCCCACAGAAACAGCTCTCGCTTTAATGTACAGCGAGGAGCAGGGGGAGCCACGGCACGCAGTACCGCACTCTGTGTGGACCCTGCTTTTTAAGGTTCAGAAAAGGTTTTAGGAGATGATTTGTTTTTGTTTGACACTTTATGTTTGAAAGTGTTTGTTGTTATTTTGGGACACGATATAGGAGCATTATGTAGCGTCGAATGGAACTTTTGAAGTGTCTGTACCTCAAAACTGAACTTAAAAACAGTGTAAATGATTGTATTCTGTTTCTTTTGTAATTGAGTAGAGCTCTGGATAAATGGGCCAAAGGGCAGCAGATGGTTACAGTAATGACTAACATATATCAGGGTGGAGGGGGGTACCTCTTTTACATTTGAACCCTTTTCCCATACAGAGTCTGCGTGTAGCTGTGCCTCGTGTAGCCACCATATGAAAAAGTTCTCTGAAGTCCTCTGATGGTCTGTGTCAATGCCCCCACAGTTAGAACCAAAGACATCTGACCCTCTCTGCCCTCTGACAACGCTTCACTTTGAAAATGACTGATGCACCTGTGTAGAAACTTTTCTTGTGGGAGTAATTTTAACCATCACCGCAATACATTTTGCAAATGAATATGTTGAAATTTGCAGTTCACTCCCTCTCCTTCATCATTCAAACATTACTGGAACCTTTATTGTTCATGTGTTTGTATATTGTTAAGTCATTGTCTTAATGTCTTTTACTTGTTGTCTGTTATGTCACTTTTCTTTTTCCATTTTACCTTTAAAAAAAAGGGCGGGGGGGGGTTGCAGTTGAAAAAGTTGAATCGACTTGACTTCTAACTCTACTTGTCGTCATCCCAAAAAAGAGGAGGAGGACCCAAATGTGTTGTTCTTGAAAGTCTTTAAGGACACAAATGTCTACACTTACAGTAAAGGTTCGTTTGACGTCAACTTTTAAGTAAAAAATAATTGTACATTTTTTCTTACATTTTTTGGATGTTTTTTTACTTTGAAAAAGCGTTAAATTCTCAAAATATGACCCAAATAAAACCACAAATATGGTCTCAATTTATTTCTCTGTACTTTGCCTACAGCTTTTAAAACCTGACTCGGACTGTGTGTGTGTGTTTGTGTGTGTTCGGTGTGTGTGTGTGTGTGTGTGTGTCACAATGATTCTTTGTCTTACATAAATGTACCCAACAGAGGCTTTCACTGCAGGAGAAATATTGATTTGTAGCTGGGTGAGTCCATGGATTGTTTATTTTGTTCAGACAAAGGTCAGAGGATTCAGTATCCCCTGCAGAGTGCAGATCTCACAGTACAGCCGCAAATATGTGAGGACTTTAGAAACCAAAAAATTGGAGTCAAAGTTCAGGATTGTTTATTCATTCCTTCTGCTCACATCTACCCAATAAAGGTTTAATAGTTGATTCTTTAATAATATATCAGTTTTTCTTTTTAACCTCAGGAACTACTTAATGAAGTTAAAGTTAAGAAACTGAAAGAACTTGGTGATGTGTATGGTCTAGAAAATATATTGTTGAATACTTTTTTTTTTAAATGTCACAATGTTACAAGTTTATAATAATAATAATAATAATAATAATAATAGCAGATATGTTTTTCTACCAAACTGGTATTCAAATGGTATTTCAATCCATCAACACACTATCAGAAAGTATCAGAAACAGAATCAGGAAGGACAATGGCTCCTAAACAGAGTTGTCTCCTGCTCAAGTGTGGATCAGAACACTTATTTTTTTAGCAAAAATGCCCTTTTGTGAATTTTGGCCCCTGCCTCTCTGCATGTCCCTGGTTTTTTAAAAAGAGTGTGTTTGAAGAGGTGAAGAGGAGCGGGGGAGGGGGGTGGGGCAAAGCAAACAGATTTATTGCATCATTTTTCCGAAAATACACAAATATATAAATATAGGCTTACTCTAAATGGCCAACAGGGTCCTCCATGCCCACCCTGAACACATTCTCAGGTGGGCCCGGTTGCAAGAACATACCTTGAAGAATTAATCAAAAGTCCGTAGCAGACTGAAAATAACTTTAGGCTACTGTATTTTAATGTGCACAGCAACGCATTTCGCCTGTGCATAAACAGACAGGCATATTGGTGGACCCCCAGGTTAAGTCTGTGTGTTACAAACGCTGAAGGTCATAACCTCAGACATATTTCTCATATTGCAGACAAATCTGATGTGGCTCGAGGCAGGCCTGCCTATACACACAGTGTATCAGGGACATGCTCTGCTTCACCTTCTTCATCCCTGTGAAACAATCAGTCATATCTGGACCAGAGTTGTCAACGCATTTGATGAGGACAACGATCTGATACTGTTTGAGCAGCTTTTTGAAGTCGTAGATAGTTTGAGAGTGACTCGTGTGTGTTCGACCAGACTTCCCTTTGGTGACTTTACAACATTCTCGAGGTTTGAAATGATGACTTCTGCGTTATCACAGTGAGTAAAGACAACTTTTGTAGAATTGGGGCTGAGTGGATTAAACAGTGCATTGATCCTAAAGAAGAGAGTATGGCTGCAGGGCTGATCATCTACCCACTGATAAGCTCCATTATGCAAGGCTGCACTGTAGCAGATTGATTGGCTGATAGATGAACTGATGCACCATGAAAACAGAGGGCCATGGGTTTTTAGAGGGGGTGGGGGTCAATGGTTATATTTGCCTGAGATTACAGGAAGTGTGTGTGTGTGTGTGTGTGTGTGTGTAAGAGAAAGAGAGAGAAAAAAAAACGTAGAGTGGGTGTGCTTACAGTGGCGAGATATAAGAGCTCACCCCATCCCTCTCTGGACATTTTTGGGTGTTTGAGAGAGTCATCACCATGAAGCACTGTGCGCTGTTGTCGCTGTTGTTGGCGTTGGGGTGCATGCACGTCCACGGTGCACCGGTGGAGCAAGGCGCCATGGAGCAGGGGTCATGTGAAGACGCACAGGCGAAGTTTGTAGCCGGGCTGGCCCTCACCAAAATCAACCAGGACCGGCAGGAGGGCTACATCTTCAGCCTGCACCGCCTGTCCAACGTCCACATGAAGACACACGTGAGTCAGCCCGAGGAGGACCACCACGATGCTTAAAGCAATGAAAATGATATGATTTACCTTTTAGAAATAAAAGACTGGGTAAGCCTGGTCAGAGTGATTTCATTTTTAAATTGATGCCCACATCTCAAATTTGTAATATTGGTTGGGTTAAAATATGCAAATTCAGTTTGAACAACAGATTAATGATTTTATCTGTTTGTGACACTTTCTGTTTCTGTCTGCCACGTATTTATTTAATGGGATATCGATCCTGCTGGATCAAAAAATACCAGAGAGAAATCAAAAGTTGTATGAATCTAAAATCTTTTGAAATTTCTGAAACTTTGAAATCACCAGTTGCAATCATGATTGTATAACAAAGATTTAAAATTCCACTCTAGAACCATAAATCTCTGTCTAAAAAAACCACACTTAGGAGGAAATTATGATTTTCATTATTATCCTATTATCGTATTATATCGTATTATAGAGCAATAGTTCTCAGCTGGTGGGTCGGGACCAAAAAATGGATCACAGTATGTATGAATGTTTTTTTTGTTTTTTTCAAAAGAAGTAAATTAAGCGCTTTTTAGTCCTGTCACATGTTTCGTACCATCTGAGGTCCAAACCGCACAATTTTATAAAATAAATTTGATTGGCTGGGATTCATCATGCTGGAGTTGGTGACAGGTCCTTGGCTTAGACCGGTTGAGAGCCACTGTTTTAGAGTTTTGGCTTGGCATCTTGGGGAACCAATCACATTTCAAGGGGGCCCATGACACCCATTTACCCCTCAGTTTGAGATGAACTGGATTATCCCAACAATTGAACCATGGATGTTGCTATTAACATGTGACCTTTGAAGTAGAGGTCACATCTGGTTGAATTGTGTTAAAGATCACGCAGTACCAGAAAACAATGGATTGTATAAGAGATAAGTGACACCAGAGTGATGAGTGATTTCTGGGCTTGGATCACCGAATAAAAAACCTTTTTACAAATAATTTCCATCAAGATGTTGTTGAAGGACATTTCACTTGAGATATTTCCATGATGTGTTTGATGATTTACTCTGAATGTGTGTGTGTGTGTGTGTCACAGGCAGAGACTGGTGTGGTTTTCTACCTGACCATGGATGTTGTAGAGACCAACTGCAGCGTTCTCAGCAGGAAGGACTGGAAGACTTGCGAGGCTCGTCCCACACACGACACACCAGTAGAGAACAAACACACACACACACGCTCTGGCACACACATATCTAAAAATGTTTGCAAAGTCTGCACGCATGCACATCATTTTGTAAATTCTCATGATCATTCTGTTTTTTTAAGTACTTTCAGTTCTTGTCAAGGAAGTTGCTTGAATCTAACTAATGTATGTATTTGTTATTGTGCTGTTTTTTGCAGGTTTATGGTCAGTGCAAAGTTGCTATTTACACCAATAGGCCACACAGAGTGGTGCGTCTCTACAAATACGACTGTGCTATCAGACCAGGTAAAAATACTAATAACAACATCTAACTTACGACTGGGTCAAAACAATCTTGTAATTTGTGCACATTAAAAAAAAAATTAAAAAACGCTTTTCCCTCTGCTCAGTTCCTTCAGGTCGTGTCACCGAGATCTGTCCCGACTGTCCGACCCCTGTGGCCATGGACAGCGCTGAGATTCAGAAGGCTGTCACTCTCTCCATGGAGAAGTTCAATAAGGAGAGCGGGCTGGACAAGCGCTTCGCTCTGCTGAAAATCAGGCGCGCTACCGCCGGGGTAAGATGTCATGTTATGTATTATCTCATTCATATAATATAATCTGAACAGGAAAGGCTCCGAATCCTACTGAATCATTCCCACAGAAAGTCAAGCTGATGGAGAGGATGGATGCTCTTGAGGCTTATACCTCAATGCACCAGCAGCAATATCATACATTAATAGACATTTTTAAATGTTTAATTGAAATTGAAATTCTATTAAGTAGTTAATTGCCTGAAATATTTCAGCCCAAATATCCTCGATTAAAGAGAAAATACTTTATTTGTATTCATCGGACAAATTTAAAATGCGACATGTTTAATTAAAAATAATAAAAAAGATGTAATAGACTGTATAAGAGAATTGGACGTAGACACAATGATATCACCAATTGGTCGAAGGCGCTTTATGGGTAACACTTTAAATTTAGGTCACAATATTCACCATTAATAAGTTGCTTGTTAGCATGCTAACTAGTAGCATTCTGGCTGGTTACCTTATTCACTTTAATGGTGAACACTGTTTCTTTCATTTAAAGTGTTCATGTTAAGAGCCTTAGGTGACTATATTTGGATGAGAGGATGACACAGGAAGTGTCATCAATAGCAAGGGTCATCATAAATTCTGTTTCCTCAAGCTAAAAAAGAAAATAATTCTTAAAAGAAATGCATGCGAGTTGTTAGTCATACCCTGATTTATCATCTGTTTTACTCGATTGTGCTGGATTTAATTAAACGATCTCTGCGCTAACACTGGACAAGACGTGGAATTGGGGACTGATCTGCAATGTCTCTGGATCTAGAGATCTGGTTTCAGGTTAAGCAGTGCATGTTGTTGGAGTCTTGCATCACTTGTCTGACCCAGAGACTACGTCCACATCATCTACAGAAACTCTCAATCCACTCCTGCAGAAATAATACTGTAGTTAATCCAAATACTGGCTATTGCAATACATCTTGGCGTACTCTTTTATATCTTCTGTGCAATCCGTGTTCCTGCTCTTCCATCAGTATGAAACTTTCTTGTTAACTTACAAGCTATGTATGCTACACAAAGATATTATTTCACTGTGCCTGCTTCTTTGTTTAAAGTGTCTTTCTGTTCTGTGTGTGCCTCCAGATGGCCATGGCCATGTACTACAATGTAGAGTACGCCATCCAGGAGACCACCTGCTCCAAGAGCGCAGCCGCTGATAACTGCCCCCTCATGACCTGCGAGTTCACTGTGAGTCATTAGAAACTTGTTTTATCACAGCATGCTGGAACTATTGCTGTAAATGGATTCTCAAGTTTTACTATTTGGATTTGTTTTGGTCCTTTAAATACATATCGAGTAGCTCCTTTAACTCAAGCTTGTATTTTTCTTACACTTTTATGGAAAGACAACATTTTGAAAACATTTTTATCTCGAGTTTTATGGCATATGAAGTAGTTAGTTTTCTGCATGCATCTGTTTCTGCTTGGTGTGTTCTTTTGTCATATCAGAAAGTGTGTTTTCACTCACAGTGAAGGATAACCTTGAACTATAGAGCTGTAGTGTAGTCACATGCATTCCTCTGATTTCTGCTCCCTTAACTTTTCTTCTCTCTGCAGCACAAGGGCTTCTGCAAGGCTTCCCTCTTCTACTCTCCCACTGGTGATGCTGACACCTCAGTGGAGTGTGAGATCTATGAGCCTGAGGTAAGACTCTTTTTTTTTTTTTTTTTAAATAAATGAAAACAAGTCATTCCTCCTCTCCAGTTAACCCGTTCTTTAAGTGGCTGGGTATCGTTCTGAATCTGGATTGGTAACATTTATTCATTGCTTATGTGTCCCACAGTCTGCTGAAAGAGAGAAGAAACTGCACACGATGGCCGCGGAGACTGACCACACTCACAGCGACACAGCGACACACAACCACGACCATGACCACGCACATGCCGCCGACCACACACACACCCATGACCACGCGCACGACCACACCAAGAGCCACGCTACCCACACGCACGACGCCAACAGTGACCACGACCACACACACGACCACGCTAAAGCACACGCACACTCCCACGACCACGGACACGGCCACGACCATGTGCACGCTCATCATGCCAAGGCGCACGACCACGCCAGTGATGTCCCCAACCAGCACCACGACTACAAGCACGCTGATGGCGCTCACACCCATGAGCACGACCACGAGATCGCTCTAGACCACGACCACAAGCATGCCCACCTGCACGAGCACGAACACCACCACCATCACCACGATCACGACCATGACCACGCTAGCCACGACCACCCAGAGGGTATGGTTAGAGTGTTGGCCTCCATTGACCGGCCCATGACCCTGCCTTCTTTCCCCGACGTCCCTGCCGCTGGTCCTGAGGTGGGAGTCACTCTGCCCCTCAAGCCTGACCCCCAAATCCCAGAAGTGATGGAGCCCTTCATTGAGGCCTTCCCCACCGCAGCCTCCGCCCAGTGCGTGCCCCCTGCAGTAGGCGAAACTCTGGTGGAGAAAGTCTTCGCTGAAGACCCCATGTTCAAACCAGTTGCATAAAGTGATGTTGGGACTCATGAAAGAACTGAGCAGGAAAAAAAAAACACTCACAGACTGAAAAGTAGTCAAAGGGAAAACATCTTTCACATCTTGACTTCTTCTCTGAGTCATATTTTGCCAAGATGATGGTTTACTATAAACACATAACATGCATCCCCCCCCCCCCGGGTCCACTTTACTTTAAACATCCTATATAGTCTTTAAAACTACCTTAACATCAACTTCATTCATTTTTTACCATTGGTAGTAAATTAGTCTGCAACCAGTTGTGTTCTTTGAGCAACTAATCACAATATGGTTGCATCCTTAACATTTCTTCATATTCTCACACTGTACAATCAAGCTGGCAAACACAGTTTTCCATGTTTGTATTTCATCGATGCTTGGCTTCATAAATTAATAAACGGCACCACAAATACTCATCCAGTGTTTTCTTTTATTGATCAAGAAGACCCTCGTGATTCATCCCTTGCTGATTCAATGCACTCATCCAAAATCAGCACAAAGAACTTTCTTCCCACTTTGTCTTGTTATTATTTTTTCCAGGCTAGACATTACAGCGTGATAGGAGTAGCTCATACATCGGGCCACTAGGCGGCGCCAAAGTAACGTTCTCCCTGTGTTCTACATACAGTATATTGTCCCGGTTAGATAATGAGAGTCGTATGTAGAAGCAGACGCAACATGATGCTGTGTGTTTATTGCTGGCCTGCTGCATGACTTCAGTAATACCTCAGTGTTCATCATACCCACCTTTCTTTTATGTTTAAACAAAAACATAACTCAATTATTCAATTATAATTAACAGGAAATGCACTGCTGAATTCCTTGTCCCTCTTTAACTTTACATTTCATTGAACTGACATACATGCACAGGGAAAAGAGAATGTGCTACATAACCAAATGTCAATAATAACAGGTAATTAAAAAAAAAAATCAAAGTCTTTTAGTTCCTTTTTAATGATATTTAAACATACTGAGAACTGCAAGAAATGGTTGCATTGTTGGCGGTCAAAGATAAGCTATAAGTAGATAAGAGTCCTTATCCGCTTCCATGAACAAAACAAGTGATAGATGCAAACCTCATTAGAACAAAAACACATTTAGACTGTAATCCACTTGTTGCAGTAGTGTTGCAGTAAAATGTTATTTAATGTGTTAATACGTTACTGATCTGGGTCTGTATCAGAATTCATAAAGTAAATGGCTTTATGCAGATTTAATTTGTTGGAAATCTTTCACTGGTGTCACCTGGGGATTAAAAACTTTCACACCAGGCCTTGTTGATTTTGGTAAACCATTATATGAAAGCTCTGTGGGATGTTAATGTTTTTGTCACTGATGATGCACATTGCTTCCCTACGTAACCTCCGAGGCTCTCAGACCAGACACAACAACGATATGACTGCACTCGCCCATTCTGTGTACAATGTGTTTGTGGACTTTTAGTGGTCATATGAGCTCAAGAGACTCAGCAAACAACTCTTATCTGCTGTCTGTAGTACACAAACATCGACCCACACATATCTGACAAGCTCTAACTCTGACCAGTTGCATAAGTAAAAAAAACAATGCGAACACAATGATACCCTTTGTAACTTCAGAAAAACAGGGCAATGCAGCTGCAGGAATAGGAAGCTTAGCCTAAAAATGATTCTCAACCAACTTCATTTTAAACCACTCCAGCAGCATATTAAAGGATAGAAAGGTCAAAGATAGAAATCTTTGAACAAGTCGGTTTAGCCTATAGAGCGTTTTGGCTTTATCGTGTTAGACGAGAGAAGTGAGATCATCTCTGTTGAAAGCTTAAAGGTGCCAACCTGTGCTGTTCACCAAGTGGAAACCTCAGATGAGCCAAATGAAGCGAAAGCGCAAGTGCAAAAAGATGCATTTCCTGGAGTGTCCCGTGTTCCATGGCCTAGGAAAGAAACAAAAACGTATTTGGTCGGAGTAATTAAATGGTTTGTTGGCGTACACTGTACAGTTTTTTTTATTACATAAACGATATAATGATATGACGCCACACCCCTTATTATATATGCATAATATCTTACTGACAGGTGGGTGCATTGTAGTTGTATGCCAGGTGGCTAAAGGTCTGACTCAACTCCATATTTCTGCCTGTTGCTAGGGCGACCAAAAGTTAGTTTGAGATAACGTGTCCAATATGGCAACTGCCACCAATAGGCTTCAAAACTATGTTGCAGAAACCAATGGATGACATCACTGAGGTTACATCCATGTTTTATACAGGCTATATGAGAACTCTATTGGTCTAGACTTTTCACTTTCTCATGTTTTAGCCGCTACCTTTGCATACAACTTGTCATAATCTCAAAATAGGTGCAGCCAATCAGAATTCAGTATTCACATAGCCCAAGATATAATAAGTGAAAAAACCATCTCCGAACCTTTAACTAACACAATAAGAAGAGCATTAGATTATTGCTGAAACATGACAGTGTGACTTGAAGAAATAAAATAACTAAATCTCGATTGATATCATGTCCCCTGTTCCCCAGTGAACTATGACCCCTCAGTCAGTTCGAGCCAGCCATTGGCCTAGAGAGCAGGAGATAGCGTCTGTTTGCTCATCTTTTAGGAAATAGGCGAAAGTCCAGCTTGTCATGTGTCTGTCCAAAACCCTGTCTGGAGAAATTTGGATTACAGATCGTGCAAAGGAAGATTAACAGACCAGGGTCTGTGTTGTTCTCAATGTTAGATTTTTTTGCAGGATAAGCTTTGGTAATTTTTATTGGTTAAAACTAGGGGTTGTATTTAGCCCATTGTATGTGTGTGTGTGTTTATGTGTTGAGAGAATGAGTGTGTACCTGCTGGTCCTGTGTCTGGCTTTGCTGCAGCAGCAAGGAAGAGCCAAGCCAGACACTCCAGGATGTTTAAATCCTGAGGCGGTGAGAGTGGCTGAAGAGGCCATGGACCAGATCAACCAGGACCGGACAGAAGGTTACGTTCTGAGCCTCAACAGACTGTACGACCTCTCTCACACTCCTGAAAAGGTGAGGGAAAACACTCATATGCACATACACAGAAATGCATGCAAAAAAACGTTTACGCTCATATACTGCCTTAGACCTTGAAAGATGCAAAAAATAATTGATGGACTGGCAGCAATGTTTGCAGAGCCTTGAAGGGGGTAAAAAGGAGAAAAAAAATAGCTGTTTTCTAATATGTACTCCTGGAAATTTCTAGAAAATTTAAGGCAGGCTGCACCTGAGATCTTGCAGAGTAAGTAGTTCACATCTGCCCCTAACAGCGGGAAACTGCCCCTGTTGCACAGAGGGGGGTCTCGGGAGGCAGGACGTGACGCAAATAGAACAATGCGGAAATGGTGGACAAAGCAACAAAGTCCGTAAAGATGATGACAGTCTCTGCCCTTATATGTGTACTTCAACATGTTCACTATATTCCAAAAGGACAAAGAAGAACACACTCACAAACAGAAAACAATGAAGCAGTCTGACTCGCTTTTCTTGAATAACTCCTGTGGCATTATCACACTAGCTCACCTCAACTTCACTTGGGGAATTTTCTAAGGGGAGGGAGAGGGACAAATTGGAGTTAAGTCTGGGAAAAAACTTGATTGTTTGCTTTTACAGATGAAGCTCAATCCGAACATTTTGTTGCATTTTTCAGACTTTTTGTGTATGTATGAAAACCATATCGCTGTGTGTGTTTTTCCAGGATAAGGGCGGGTCTCTCTACAAACTGACCATTGATGTGATGGAGACCAGATGCCACATCACCAGCAGGAAACCATGGAAACAATGTGAGGCTAGAAATATTGGTGAAGTTCCAGTAAGTACCACAGGGTGGAGTATTATCTCTTATCCACATCAACGTTTCATTCAACATCTTATTAGGCTAAAGGCTCCAAAGGTCCAGAATCTCACTGTAGGCTCAGTATCCTCCCAGTTTACTGAAGTTGAATTAATGAAGACTTCTAGAGAGCTCTTTTGCATGGAGACCATACCAGACTTCACTTTTAAATCCCCCGCAGTTAATTGCAATAGCTACTTCACATTGTGTTTTGTCCAAAGAAAATCAAGAAGAAATTTGGTAACTTCTAATAATTCCATTGTAGAAATGTTCATTTCATTGGTCACAAAATAGTGAGTTGTCATCCATATCGTAAGTTTGCAAACACATGCAACGTTAGCTGAGATGCTCTTATTGTTTCTTGAATGTTTTTCAAACTAATGGCTCTCTGGTGTAAGCTTGTGCAATATTAATACAGAGCTAAATCCCTGCCGACACACAAAACCTACGGTCCAAATAAATTGACTAGAGGCAACACCAAAGAACTGCTGTGACAACAAGATGACCACGGTCAACATGTAACACCTTGTGGTCAAAAACACTTAGCCTGCAGCTGACGATGCTTGCTAGGTGTGTTAACAGCTGTAAAGCTGCCAAGTGGCATTTTCTTAAATTGGATCAAATTAGTAAGGTTGTAATACCTTTCTGATGTGCAGACACCAAATTCGACTGCAAAAGCATGAATCTTGACAGAAACTTCAATGCAAGTTCTTAGTTTGTATTCATCATTTTATGATGGAACAGAACTCTTTGTTAGAACGACATTTTTCAAACTTTACCCTTAAAGACAAAAGAGGTGCGTTTTTTTTTTTTTAAATGCTCCAGTTAATCTCCAACGAGTAGCAGTGAAAAAACGCCGTAAAGACCCGATACTGATATCGATATTGGGTAGGGAAAAGAAATCTGATGCCGATATGTCGACTGATATCTTTCTCAGATCTATGCCCTTTTTTGAAATTGTTGATCATTTTTGTTTCACCCCTTCTCCTTTGTTTGTATAATTGTGTTCATGTCCTTTAGGTGTATGGAGAGTGTATGGTGTCGGCCTTCATCGACACTAAGGTCAAGCTCCAAAGTTACTCCTGTGCACTTCGTGAAGGTAGATGGATGGAGTCTTTTGGACTTCATTTGATAGCACAAAAACACATTCAGACATTGATATACTGTTGTGATTTGTAAATGTTACTGAGCATTCTGCAATCATTCTGTTTGCTTTAAGCCAATGGGAAAGAGCACACAAAGTCACAAAGAGTCTGGATTAGGCTACATTTGAACAAATACTTACTACGTTTTATGACCCTTGTTCATTCTTGTGTTTAGTTCCTGCCACTGCTGTAATCGAGGAGTGTCCAGACTGCCCCACAGCCGAAAACTTAGACGAGCCGGTGGTAAAGGAGACGGCCAATCTCTCCCTGCAGAGGTTCAACGGAGAAAGCAGCCTGGCCAACTACTTCACTCTGGAGAAGATAACCAGAGCCTACTCGCAGGTGAAGCAAAATAAATGATGATCAAGTCATCATTATCTAAACCTTTAGGGTCAGCTCCCCTCTACAGTATATTTGCGTCGGGGTCCTGCTCACCCTCG